TTTTTTTTAATATGAATATTTAATGCTACAAATTTCTCTCTAAGCACTGCTTAATCTTCATCCCGCAAGTTTTAACATGTTGTATTTTCAATGCCATTCAATTAAAAATATTTTCTAATTTCTTGTGACTCCCTTTTTAACTCCTGGTTTATTTACAAGTGGTTTTTTGAAAAAATGTTCAAATAATTAAGGGTGTTCCAGATATCTTAGTTTCATTTAAGTTTAATTTAATAATGTTGATTGAATTTGCAATTCTATAATAATGTATGAGGTTGAAATGTTTTCTTTATAATAAATAATAATATGAGGTAAATTTTATTGAGAACTTACTCTGTGGCAGTGACTGTTGTAAGTATTTTATGTATATGAGTCCATCAATGTTCAGAAAAATGCTTTGAGGGGGCACTTGGTTATCCTTCCTTTCCACAAGAGGATTTTGAAGCACACATGAGAAATTAGAGAAATTGGAATTCAAATCCCTGTGGATGTTTCTGGAGCTTCAGCTCTTCACCATCTCCTGTTATTGCTTCTTCCTCTAACCCGGTCCTTAGCCCATTTAAAAAATTATATGTATTCATTATTTTCCTGTAGATTTGTAAAAACATTTTGTAAGTCGAAAATATTATTCTTTGGAGATTTTTAATAATCACTTGACTGTTTATTAATAATAAAAATAAAGAATGCTATTCACTTCTAAGGAAAAACAAAATAGAAAATGTTACCCTTTGTCTTGCATATGTGTTAAAAGTATTTTCCTGAGTTTAAATTTTGCTTTTTTATAAAAAAAAAAACAATTATCTTTTACATTTTATGCAGTTAGGCTTATATATCTTCCCTCTTGCAATTTATTCTAATACTTTTAGGCATAGAAAATCTTTTGCATTGCCAAAATCAAATAAAAGTTTACTCATATTTTCTTCCACTGTTTTTCTTATTTGCTTCTTTTACATCATGTACATTGTTTCCATGTATTTTTTAAAATTGCAATTAATTTTTTCTGATGGTCAGAGCTACATTAGCTTGCCCAAATAACTATACCCTTACCCCAGGGCCATTTAGATTGAATCTTTTTCCCCCCTAACAGCAGTTCTGAGCCCTTTCTTGAGTATGGCAAAACATGACTTGGAAATGAATTCATGTGCTGACTGCACCATATTAAAGGTGAACTTTGGAGAGTGGGGGCACAGAGGAGGGTATATATTATGGCCTTAGTATGTGAAGTTAGAGTCATTAAAGGAAGACTTTAGGTAGGATTTAGGGTCTTTAAAGAAAAGGAGTGATAATTACATAATGTAGAAAACAATGAAGAATATAAATATGTTTTTGCTTGCCATTGATAAATATGGCCAATATAATTTGTACTTTGGATTATCATGCTACTTGTGCCTCTCCTCTGATACTTAACATTTACCACATTTTAATAGTTATTTGTGTTTTATGATAGACAGCAAACTCTCTGAGAGAGAGACTCATTGGGTCCAGTTCATCCTTCTATCCCTTTCAAAATATATTCTTCCAGTGATTTTCATAAGGTAGGAAGTCACTAAGAATAGAAGAAAGAAGGGAAATAAAGGAGGGAAGAAGAGGAGGAGAGGAAGAAGAAACACAAGATGGATAAAGGTAGTGTGAAAGGAAAATAAAACAATAAAAAGTGAGGCTTCAAGGATATGGAGGGAAAGGACAATGAAAGTGTAATTGAATGGTCTGTGTTTCTTTTGTGGCGATTGAGTACACGAATCCCTTTCGCCCTCTATGATCACATCTTCTTCCCTTCATTTAGAATATTTCCTCACTCATACCACTTGAGGGGGTTAGTTTGGAAGAAGACTACAGAGTGAGTTGAAAGCTAAGCATCTTCAACTTTGTCCAAGAGTTGATGAAGAGTTTTACAGTTTTTGAACGTAAGAACACTATAAGCAAAGCAGTACTTTCAGGCTATGAATGAATAGTGATGGTGAGGATGGAACAATGGGCAGCCTGGAAGCAGGAAGACAATGCTGGTCTTTTGGCGTAGACAGGTTTCCTCTTCTTGGTATAGAGCTAAGCTTCATTTCCCTCACATCTAGATATGGCCATGCGACTGGCTGGTCCTGACCAATGGATAACGAACACATGTGGTTATTTTCAGTCTGAAGAAGTTAAAAACAGATGTGTCTTCTCATGCCGTTGATCTAAACTCCCATCTGTCAGCCCGAAAATGTCAAAATAACCATGAAGCTACATATTGAAGATGCGGAAGCTTCATAAGGAAGAAGCTGGAATCAGTAAGTCATCACTTGGAGGAGAGCCACTCACCATGAAGTCATCTGCATTGGACTCTGTGAGTGAGAAATAAAAGTTTATTTTGTCAAATCACTGAGATTTATGTGTTGCTTGTTACAGCAGCTAGTGTCATTTTTTTTGACTAATTAAAGTCATCGTAACAGGGACAGTGGTGGTAGTGAGGATAAGGAATGAAGTATGCACTGATGGATTGAAAAGAAAGACAGAAATGGGAGAGGCATTACAGAGGAAAAATGGTAGAAGAATGAAGGCTGACTTCAAAGTGAGCCTGAAGACCTGGAGAAATTGTCAATGGAAATAACAATGTCCAAAAAAAAAAAAAGAGCTGCTTTGGGGAAAAGGATGCAACAACTTGTATTTTAGACGTGTTGAGTCTGAGATATTATGGTATATCCAGATATGATGTAAATGCCTGCAAGGAAAAAAAGGAAGAGTTGCAAAAGTAAATTATGTGTATGTGCGAGAGAGGGAGAGAGAGAGAGAAAGAGAGAGAGATAGAGAGAGAGAGAAAGACAGCGAGAGAGAGAGAGAGAGAGAGAGAGAGAGAGAGAGAGAGAGAGAGAGAGAGAGAGAGAAGAGAAAGAGAGAAAGAGCAAGAGAAATAGAGGATTTAGGTCTCATAATAAAAAAGGTAAGAGGTAAAATGGGTTTAAACTTATGTAAAGAAACCCAACTGACCAAAGGAATTTGCTATTTAGTCTGGACTCTAGAAGAGCAAGAAAAAGTCTTTTCTTTGCCATTGATCTTGGCTTTGTGTTTTAACCTGCTTGTGTCTTAGTTTCCTCATGAGGGGTTTGAACAGTCTCTGAAACAGCTCTTCCAGTCAGAACCACCATGGAGCTTTAAAAGTCCACGTGGCTGTGCCTCTTCTCAGACCTACTGCATCAGTGTCCACAGTGTGGGTACAGCCACCGTGAGGCCCTTCCATGGCAGTGATTTTGCCCCCTCAGTGGGGAGCTGGGCAGCCTAGCCATACATTTCACTTATAACAACTTCTACAAACAGTGTCTCATTTCCCCTATTTAAAAGTTTTTACCATTGACTTGTGGGTAGGCACGATTTTTTCCAAGTCAATCTTTTGGTCAAGAAACATTCTGGAAGCAGAAGCCTCCTTACTGATGCCCCCATCTCAGTAACGCAAGAAGTGACACTAACCCAGTAACTAATCAGAGAGGTCATGTAGCACTAGTAGTTAAGAGTCTGGACTGTGGAGTCAGATTGGACTCAAATGCCCTCCTGCTCTTAGAATGTGTGTAATGCTGAATAGTTACTTAACTTCTCTGTTCCTTAGTTTTCCTATCTGTAAAATGGGACATGTATAGAATGGGAATCTATAGGGTTGCCATGAGAATCAAATGAATCAACATATGCAAAGAGCTTAGAAAGTGCTAGAACACATCAAGTTCTCTATAAATGCTAACTATTATTATTATTATCAAAACTATAGACTCAAAACTCCTGGCAACAGGTGGGAGACAAAGTAGAAGGGAGGGGGAACACCTTTGTCTGCCCTCATGTCTATAGGCTTGTGAACTGGCTTGTTTTGGGGAGACTTTGGAGCCAGATATGGGAGAAAATTTGCAGATGTACCACAAATTCTTCTTGCTGCTGTTATCTCAGGAAGATTTTTAAAAGCACCACATTTTACATCCACCCCAGCTGAACAACCAGAATAGTGGAATTCCAGGGAACTAAGTAACCCCCAAATTGCCCAAATGTCTGATTTTTAAAAGCCACATTTAAAAAAAAAAAAAGCTTCTAGTTAGGAAGTCATTGTAGCTGTAGATCAAAGACATCATTTATGCTATTTTTTTTTTGCTTACTGTAGTGATTCTCAATATTTAACAATTTTGTAATTTCTGGTTTATTTTTATATTTCTCCACCTGCTGAGTTCATGATTCCACTCTTACACTAGCTAGCCTTTTCTGATTATGGCATTATACAAATTATGCAAATTAAACTTTATTCTCTCTATATTTTTAATCTGAGAACTTCTCAATGCACCTCCAGATAACTAGAGTGTGTTTTGGACAAGGCCTACTATAAAAATTTTATTAAGCCCAGTAATTGGGCAGAGAAATCTCTGCAAAAAGTAGGGTGGGGATGAAAAGATAGTGAGCGAGGGAAGGACCAGCTCAGGTCTTAAGGGAGCACTTTACCATCAGGGCAGATATTAGGACTACGTCTTCATTTGTTTTATACAAGCATCTTGCAATGTTTTTAAAGGGTGGAAATTGAACTCTGAAGTGCAACATAGAGCAGATAAGCAGGGAATATTTACAGAGTGACCAAGGGGCAAATTTTCATTGCTGACTAATGAACTTCATTGATATCAGGTTACATGGCTGGGTCTCAATCCTGATAAAGCAGTTTGCTGGGGTGTGTCAGTGATATGACACCACCTTTTCCAAAGTGACTGGCCTGAAAAGAGATTTCCACACCTAAAGCCCATATAAAGCCCATATAAAGGGCAGAAGCTGCAGCAGGCAGCCTCACTTGCTCCAGCACCTTTCCCTTCAGGCAAAATGAGAATCCTTGTGAGTATTTCTTTATGCTTCTTTATATTCTTGTGCTTGCATAGAATGTTCACATCCAATGTTCTCTGTATTTCAGGGTTCTTAGACAAACACTGGGCATGCTTCTAAGCTACTGTGATGGAATTAATGATATTCTTGGTAGGAATAATGTTGAATATTAAGTTGCATATTAATTTGTCTATTGTCCTTTCTTTGAGGTGTTTCCTAGAAAATACAAAGAAAACATTTTGGAAATATCTAGAAAATTTTAATTTGGAAGATATTTAATAATAATTGCTATTATGAGCTTTGGAGGAAATGTAGGCATTTTAGCACAACTGCATGTAGTATCTAAAAGAGGAGTGGTAAGGGGGCCGGCCGAGTGGCTCAGTTGGTTAAGAGCTCGCTCGAGTGTGAACTCTGAGCAATAGGGTCGCCGGTTCAATTCACGGCCCGAGCTGATCTGCTGCTGAGTTGCCAACAGGTGTGTTGGTGGCAGGATGGCTCAGCTAAAATAAATAAATAAATAAAATAAAATAAATAAAAGAGAGGTGGTAATTGAAAAATAATATCACTAATAATAATAGCAGTCATTTCCTAAGTGCATCCAAAGCCGTGTGGTAAACACTTCACATGAATAATTTCAACTGCTCTATAATGTTTAGTATTACTCCATTCCACAGATGAGGAAACTGAGGCACAGAAGAATGTGATTTTCCCAAGCCAGTAAATGTGGGATCTAGGCTTGAAATTTACCATGTTAGGCCCCACTTGCAGGAGCAATCATGGTAAAACATCCTTGCCGTGACCGCCCTGCTCTTCCAGGGGGCCCCAGCCCCGATCCCAGTCTCCCATAGTTCCACACTGCAGTGCTCCATGGGCAGCGGACTAGATTTGGAGGCAGAGTGGAGTGCCTTCTCCAGTCTCTATCCCTTATTCTCATTTAGCTGCCGAGGGAGAAAGCAAATGGCAAGCACCTCCCCATAAGATGTTAAAGACTGTCAGCTGAAAGAGTTCCCTGTCCCAGGAGTCTCTTGATTTTCTAAGAGGAGACCTAACCCTGAAATACAAACCTGTAACCATGGTGTATTGATCACAGTGTTGGGTAGGTGGTTATTTAGGGGGCAGGGGACACTTCCTGAGCTCTCTCTAATCATACTACTAAGGTGGTCAGTACTCCACCCACCTGTAAAAAGTCTCTGTATTAGACCCATAAATTAGAATACATAGGTGTGTCAGAGGTTGCTAGAACTGGCCTAGAGTTAGAGATGATGTGTCCCTATGCAAGTAGGCAGGTTGGATATCTGCATACAGGTTTTGTTAGATACTCCACACCCAGTCACCAGGAGAGAAATGTTATTGGCGATCTGGAAAAGGAAGTATAAACGTCCCCCTGACAGTTCTTCAAAACGTCTGCCCCTGCTGCAAATCCCCTCCCTCAGTGGTTTTTGATGCCAGTGCACTACACTATGAGGTTCAGAAGAGACAGCACAAAACCAGGCTCAGCACGTTAGATCAGACTTTTACATTACTATAGCAAAATTTCAGGGCTGCCTTGGTGTCAGTCTCCCAGCTGCTGGACAAACGCTAGTCTGATGATATCAGTAAGGCATGGGCTGTAGGAGAATGTGGAGGTTTTCCTGGGTGTCAGCTTCAAAAGTTAATCATCAATAAAAGTCTATTGCGCACGAATCAATTTTCAATCTTTTTTACTCTCTCAGTCTCAAGGAAGAATAATAATAATGATAATTATTATTATTATTATTATTTTTTACCAGAGGAGACAAATTGACCTCTTGCAATCTAAAGCCAATGTGAATCACACCAGGGTATTCCCATAGTAAAATCCGTTTTTTCTCACTGTTCACCTGTCCCAAGTTCTTCCTGGCATAAGAACACATGCTATGTATAAGGTTTTGATGTTGGGAAGAGCTGAGAATTGGGTGACAAAGGTAAAACCTGTGTCTGACAAATAGCATGAATCCGTGAATGTGTTTCATGCTTTGGAAATGGAGTATTGACCACCCATGACCACTCACCAGTATCTCTAGGTGTGCATTTTCTGAGACATTTATGCTTGTCCTGCCCAGTGTCCCTTCATATCTCTACCTTTAATGATTACTCTATAGGGAATGGAAATAAATGGTCTGTTTTTCAGGTGGGATTTCTGGTGGTTGCGGCCATCTTTGGAACACAATCTCATGGATATGAGGTGAGTTGATCCATTATGGACCTTATAGCTTGGCAATGTGGAGAGAGGAAAAGAAAGATAGAAGATAATTTGAAGGACAGTAGAGAGTTCATATAACCTGTTTGAGATAGAATTCCAGAAATAACCAATAATGGAAACAATGAGATTGATTATTTATTTCCAACTGCAAAACCTTAAAAAAGTAACCCATTGCTTGAAAATGTGGCCAGTCTCATTTCTCCTGTGATATCCTTGCTTCTCCCATATAATATACAGCAAACTATGAGGAAGAATTTTGCATTCTTATCTTAACATGTGCTTTTGGTCTGGGATCCCAGTGGAGAGGCTTCAGTCTTCAATTTCTTGTTCATAGCAGGTGGAAGGCTTTATTTTGCTGAGAGGAGTCCTTTCAAATGCATGTGATTTATGAAAAAAAATTATGTCTTTGTCTTCAATCTAGGTTTATAACATCATCAGCCCAAAAAACAATGGTGGCAACGTTCAGGAGACAATTACAATTGACAATGAAAAAAATACCGCCACTGTTAACATCCATGCAGGAGCGTGCTCCTCTACCACGGTTTTTGACTATAAACATGTAAGCAGCAAGAGAATTTTTATATTCTTCAAGACTGGGTTTCTGAAGGGCAGAGGGGTGGTCATTTAGTACACAGTTGTATTCCAAAATCTACCCTGGCAATTCCATCAGAATTTCCCTACTTTTCCTTTTCCCTTTAAATAATCAAGCTATTGACTAACAAACAAACAGAATCATTTCTAAGGGAAAAAAAACAACCACAGAAACATAGACGTTTACTTGACCTCTTAAACATACACATTTATTTGACCTCTTCAAGTGGAAATTGGAGGCATGATAATGTTGTCTCACTATAGGCTCAAAGCAATGTCTGGCACACAGACTCTCCAAAATATTTGTCGAGTGAATAAATGAATGAATAGGGGCTTCTAATAAAAAAAAATCATGCAGAAAAAAACCAATCATGAAACAATTACAAAATAGCAGAAATCCAGCACAACTATACACATTTAACTATGTGTGTAGGATATGCAATAAATCATACTTCTTCTGTAAGAAGAAAAGTGTGTTAGTTGAAAACACTGAGCTCTTTCCAACTTTTAGTTACTGTTATTAACAAGTCTCACAAACCTGCTCAGAAAACGTATTCTGTCCTTTATTCATTTATTTTTTGGTCTGTTTTCCATTTGTTCCATGGACCCTAATTACGGGCCTGCTTTTACCTAGAGACAGAGCTGTGCACTGTGGGTGTAAGTGGGTTGTTGTGATCTCACTGGACGACTGAACATGCTTTTCTTTATCTTTTCTTGTAGAAACCTCCTCACACACTTCCCGCCCATGGTATTGGTAGTCCCAGGGCACATTTGAAATTCAGAATCTTTGAAAGACATGGTTTAAAAGGAAGTTGTTTTGAAGTTGTTTTTTAAGCAGATGCCAAAAGCATTTTGGGAAATCCCAAAAGTGTTCTTAAAAAAATAAAGTGCTGAGGATTTGGTTTAAGCCTCTTCCACTCTCATCAGGCTTGGCCTCAGTCTATTTTTGAATTTTAGGAACTGACAATTGATGAGAATTGAAAAATAGGAAGTACAAGGGTTATGTTATATACGGTCTTATAGGCTGGATAGTTATTTGGAATTCTGTAGAGACAATTCTAGTCTAGAAGAAAATTAGATGGCCTTAGGTTCCTTCTGGCTCCAAGGTCCTCACCCTCCATTGCTCTTCAAATCCCAACTTCCTTCAGCCCATCCCTATCGAGTCGGCTTGGGTTTGAGATGGAGAAATATGAAGAGAGGATGGTAGAGGAGGGAAGAATAGATGAAGCCTGTATGTGTTTGTAGGGTGGGGGGGTGAGGGGGGATGCTGGTATGTTAAGGAGAGTTTCTAAAGCGTTGCTGCCTAACAGAACTTTCTGCAGTTGTTGAAATGTTCTATTTCAACATTTTCCAATAGGGAAGCCGCTAGCCACTTGTGGCTATTGAGCACTTGAAATGTGTGACAGAGGAAGTACATTTTAAATTTTATTTAGTTCGAATTAAAATTTGAGTAGCTACAAGTGACTAATCACTAACATATCGAAAAGAACAGCTCTAAAGAATATTGTATTTACTTCAAACAGAAGAAGGGACTGGGCCAAATCAATAGAAAGAGAGAGAGAACTACTGCTTCTCAATCTTTCAAACCACAAACTGTAGACCTTGGTTCTGTAATGTGAAAAGTGGGGCACAAATTATGGGTTTTCACAATTTCAGAGATAGCGATGAGAAGTGAAAAGTAAACATACTATGTAAAAGAAGTCAAATGGATAGAACTGATTGCAGGCTAGGAAAGTCACGTGTACCCACTGTGTGTGTTGGAGGCTTCTCAAAGCTCACATGTCATCCTCACCAAGTTCAAAACTCAGGGAACTGGGAAGGGTAGTAACGATGGTCTTGCTGCCTCAGGGCTACATCGCAACTAGAATGCTCTCCCGAAGAGCTTGCTACATCCTGAAGATGGACCATAAAGCCATCCCTGCTCTGGACCAACTCGAACGGTACATCTACGAGAGGAAGGTAATTCTGGAGTACCCCTAAATATACCCTGTTCTTGAGGCAAAGAATACTGGTGCCTATGGAGAAATGAAGAGGGTAAGGGATCATAATATTACTCTTATTACTATCCAATTATTAAAGTGTTTTCACATTTATTGTTTTTGATATAAGAGTGCATCCCTTAGCTTGATTTCTACCATAAAGCCCCCAATACAAGAACTTATAATAAATTCCAGTGTCTCTGTAGGAAGGATTGAATAGCCTCTGTTCTCAGAGCAGGGCTCTAAGAAATAGCGATTGGCAGGAAAATGAGTGGAGTTATAATATTCTATAACACATGGTATAAAGAAACAATACAGTACAGTGAGCATAAACAAACACTGCATGACTCTAAAAGTCCGGGGTTTCATTCTCCTTCTGTAACTTTCCATCTGTGCCACCTTTGGCATGGGGTTCATCCTCTCTTGGGTTTCATTGTCACCAGAAACAAAATGACATTGGTAACAATGAGTCTTCTCTGAAGACCAAATGGTTAGAAAAAGATGATGTCTTGAGATCCCTGACTGCCTTCTATTTAATCATCTGAAAAGAGAAAAAGTCACAATTTAGAATAAAATATCCCAGATTATTTCAAACTATTTTACCTAATTCCACTCTTATTATACTGATCTAGGCTTTGAACACCATGTACTCCAACAAATATACCTGGGTCAAGTACAACCCGCTGCAGTCTTTGCTTACAGATGTGAAATGGTTCCTGTTTGGGTCACCCATTGAGCAGCTCTGCAAACACGTCCCCTTGTATAAGGGAGAAGTGGTTGAAAATACACGTGAGTACCAATAAATCATTCCTTTACTAAATATTTTCTGAAAGCTCCAACATGCCTGCCTGACAGTGCTATCTGTTGTGTGAACTACAAATAAATGTGAAGCATGACTCCATTTGGTTTACTTTGGGAATTAAATACTGACCATGGGTAGAAATTGTGCTAAATGTTTGGGGGGAGGGGTACAGAAATGAATAAAACTCTGCCCCTAAGGAACACACAGTCTGGTGGAGAAATTGACCAGTTAACACAGAAGATGGAATAAAAAAGGATTTCTGGGTGTCAAGAAAAAACGGTTGGATTCGTTAATATACAGACAACATGGTGACTAGTTAATGATACGGTGCTGTATACTTGCAAGTTGCTGAGGGTCCATCTTAGCATTCTCACCACACACACACACAGAGTTACCTACGCTAATTAACTATGTGAGGTGATGGTTGTGTTATCTTGAACTTGGTAATCATTCCACAATGTGTATATACTGGTGTTGCCAAAAAAATGTACCGTATGTACATGACTTGTATTCATCTTTTGTTTATCAGTATATATCATTACAATTATAATACAGTTTTTTTCTTTCCTAAAATGTGTATACATATTTTTCGTACCCTCTGTATATATATCAAATCATCATGTACCCTTTAAATACATTTGTCAATTATTCCTCCAAAATGTTAAAAAAAAGAAATAGTCTCAGAATCCAGGATAGAGTTGGTCCAAGAGAAGAGCAGGCAAAGTGCACTTGACAGAAAGGGCATCAAAACCCTGATTCGTCCAGGTGCTATATGCCGCTGCAGTCATTCCTGGTATTTTTACACAAAGTCTCTAAATATGGCAGAGAGGCCAGAGTGGCAGAGAGGCTGGGCCACTGAATACAACAACAACAACAGCAAAAATTCCCCAGAGCAGTGAGAGGGGGATAAAGAAGAAAAAAAATGGCATTTAATAGATTTCTACTGCCCACCCCCACCAAAAAAAAAAAGGTCTTAGCTAAGAAAGACCTTTTCTTTTATTAAGGTCATTAGTACTTGTAAGTAAAGACACATAGGCATGGCATCAACGCAGAATGTCATAGCATCAGTTGGATTGAGCCAGATGGCACTTCCAGGAATTCTCAGTCTATTTAAGCTAATGTATCATTATTCTTTGCAATAATACAAGTATAGCTAAAATCTTGGATAATGAAATTACATGTACAACCCCTTGCCATGTAGTCAAGACATTTACAAAAATGCATTGGTCTGTTGCGTTCTAATAATATATTTCTTAAGGCTCTTTCTTCAAAAATGTTCCCCTTTTTCAGGTCAACTTGGTGCTGAAGGCTGTGCAAAGGCTGGGCTCCTGGGCATCTTTGGGATTTCCGTCTGTGCAGACGTTCACATTTAGGCATCAGACCACTGGTTTCATCTCTTCAAAGATATATTCTTTGGTTTCTACTCAGCAGCCAAATTAAATTTTTTCCCAATGCCCCAACTGATTTTGAGAGTCAGTAGCAAAACATAAATAACATATTTACAGATATCTGGGTGTTTTTTGTTTTTTGTTTTGTAGATAACAAAAAGATGCCAAATGATATTTATGTCAATATATAGAAGGAAAGTAATTGCCAAGATTTCAAGTAAAGCACATAAGGTGTGAAAATTCCCAGATAATATAGCTGGGTCACATAAGGTGGTCAGTTGGGTACAAGTCTCCATCTTTGCATCTGCTCACTAGACCAGCTGCCCATCTGTCCATCCAACATATCTGGGCAGCCTGGGTGAAGCCTGCCCATCCATCCATCCAACATACCTGGGCAACCTGGGTGGAGCAGGGGCTCAGGTGGCACTGGCCTCCACCTAGTGGGGGGTGGGGGTGGATTTGTAATACCCTTATCAAACAATTTCTGCTCAGATAAAGGAAACTATCTCTTCTGACAAAGCACCCAGCATTGAGGGCCATTCACATTCCTTTTATCTCATCAAAGCAGTAGACTCAACCTTAATAGATACTATCATGATGTATTTTGTCCCAGAGCGAAGAAAGAGGGAAGGAAGAACACTGCCTATCACCTAGGAAAAGAGGTACCTTACTGAAAATCTCAACAGTCGTAAGACCCTATCCAGAAATGGCAAGTCCATATACAAAGGGAAAACAATTTCCAATATTTCAAATACATTGCATGAAGTGGGCAAATTCCCAGATCATATGGCTGGTTCTCATGTGGACTAGTCAGCTGGATGCAAGTTCAGGACAAAGAGGAACACTTTAACAAGAATTTCTCTGTCCTCGACTGCTCCTATTCCTAACAATTTCTGAATATATTTAAAGCACTTACCATGGCTCAGGACTGGGATAGGTATGCTGGAGGAGGGGGCCTAAGCAGAAGGACCACAATCAAGAATTTATTTTCTTGTTGGGGAAATGAGACATTTACATGAAAACATTTGAAATAACAGTAAAAAAAAAGTACATAATAAAGTGCCAAATGAATGGGAGAGTGTCCTAGCCGGGACCTCGGTGTTTGCAAGTGATGGAATCCAAATCTAATTAACTGAGACTGGAGGAGGTGGAATTGATTTCTCAGTTTATTATAGAAGGATAGGGATATTCTGGTCGTGGGTGGCTAGAATTCAGTACTTGAATTCTTTTTTTCCTGTCTCTACTCACCTTCTCTCCCCACGTCAGCCTCAGCATCTTACATTGGCTTTCCCCATGATGATAGAACCAACACCGTCTTCTCAGTGTCCTCGTTGGAGAAGAGGGGGGATTCCTCTTAGTTCTAATTGTAAATTAGTTTTAACTTAAAAATCTCTAGAAAGGACTCTAAGTGAATCACTTGGGGGCACATTCTTACTCCTGTGACCAGGACTGGTGGGGGTGAGGGGTCGGGACAGAGAAAAGGGGTGTTAGGATTGGCAACCTCCTTTGAAATCTACTGCTGGGAGACGTGTTATCCTCATGAATTTTTATAATGTCATGCCCATTTTAAAAGCAGAACTTTGAGCTCTGCTTATCCCTGACTCTGCTTTCTTTAAGTCTGTTAACGCTGCTCAGTGCTGGTGTCATACTGAATACCTGTTCAGAGCAGCTTGTGGAGGGGCCCAGGCATATGCAGTAGCCTTAGGAAACACTATGAGCTGGCGGCTGCTGCAGGTTGCCCTCAGCAGCACTGAAACACTCATGCTCCAGCTGCACATGGTGCCTGGGGCCAGGCCAGAGGGTTGAGTGATCCGGGGGATGTGGAGCCATGGACAGCAACAGCTCTGCTCAAGGAGGAGGTCTGGGGGCCGCCTAGGTGAAAAGCATTGCCAAAACTGACACAGGCCAATGAAAAGGTTCTACAGAAATAACTGCTAAGGTACAGGTTAAACTGTAGGAACAGTCTCTCCACCCCAGGCAGGCAGCAGGATGAAGGGAAGCAGCACATTTCAGGCAGGATAGAGGGCCCCACTCCTGATCCCCTGGGAAAGCGAGAGCATGGAGTGGGCAGGGAGCCAGACAAGGAACAATGGGCAGCTATTACTCTTAGCTGGCCGGCCAGCCTACCCATCCCCACAGAGAGGCTCAGGGCGTTCAGTTCTTCCCTGAGGCTGCAGGAGTGATGGGGAGACCTAAGAATGCCACCGTCTAGGGTAGAAAGGACTAGGGAGGGGAGCAAGTCTTTCCCCCTCAGGGGAAGTCCGTCAATGGAACGCCATGCTCTGAACAAGGAGACCAGGGAATTTGAACTCTGTCTGGGGTCTTCTCTCTCTGAAAAGGGCCTCTTGGGCAAGGGTGTAATTTTTGCAGGCATCTCCGAGATTTCTTGGAGGGCGATTTTTGTGCGCATCCCAGCTGGGATGTAGACATAACAATGGACTTCTGCTGATCCCTCTGAGTGTGTATTTGCAGAAGGATGAGGACAGAGCTTCAGGAGACCTGGGACATGGTCCTAACCCAGCACAACAAATCCTGGATGGGAGGAGCAATGCCCAGCACATGGCGACATCTCAGGCTCAGATCCGACCCCAGTTCAGTTCCCAATGGGCTCATGCTTGAGGCCTCAGGGTGGGGGTGGGGATTGTGAGTAGCAGCAACAGAAGGGACAGAAGAGAAAAGCCTTTTTTTTTTTTTTTTACTACAGTTTCTCTAAGAAACCAGGGCATATGTTGCAACAATGTGAACAACTGACTCCAAAATATGGGGGCAGACACACTCTTCCTGTTTCTGCGTTGAGTCCAGAGGGCCTTGCTCCTCTGACCGCTTGAGGCTCCCCGGTCAGTGGCGGCGATGGCGGTGTCTGACCAGGGCCCGCCCTCAGCAGTGGGGCAGCGGCTAGTGGAGGCGGCTCAGCTACGGGTGCCCAGTCCTCTTCTCTTATTTCTAAGAGGCAGCATTGGAGATGCCAGCAGAGGTTAATGACAGTAGCTGCCCCAAGAGAGGAAAAAAAGAAAATAGAAGACTTCCCTCCTTGGATGATCAATGGGCTAATTCTTAGCCACTGCTCAGGTACTCCCAGGGAGACTTAAAAATTAGTACAATGGACTCAGGAGGAAGCTTAAGTTGTTTCATCACAGTTGGAAGATACCGTCTGTTATTAATGTTAGTGTGATCATATTTTAAACAGAAACCTGGTAGCTCTGATAAACAGGGAGCATGTTTGGGGCAGGATTAGGGGCAGTGGTTTGAGATTCAAATAGAGTAAATTTTTGGTTTGTTTGTTTTTGCTTGCTGGGTTAGATAAACTCTGTGGATAAACATTAACCCTGGTCACTAGTAGGGTAGTGCTTTAGACTGAATGTTTGTGTCCTCCCAAAATTCACCTCCAAAATGATGGCATTAGTGTCCTTGTGAAAAGGCCCCAGAGAGTTCCCTTGTCCTTTCCACCATATGAGGACACAGTGAGAAGATGGCCATCTGTAGACCAGGAAGGGAGCTCTCATCAGACACAGAATCTGCTGGGGGCTTGATCTTGGACTTCCCAGCCTCCAGAACTGTGAGAAATAAATATTTGTTGTTTAGAAGCCACCAGTCAGCCTATGAAGTTTTTGAATTTTGTCCTCCCAATCCTAACTCCTAGAAGACCTGACTCCTGGTGCTTGCATGGAAGATTCTTTATAAGATAAAGATTGAACTTGTAGCCGGAAGGACCAAAATCTCCCTTGACAAGCCCTGGGAGGTCGAGAGGACAGTGCTCGCTGTTTCTCAGGATGCTATTACAGCCCAGCCAATGACAGCCAGGGGTGATGAAGCACCGGAGGGCAGCAGGCCCTGAACCCAGAGCCTCTGGGATGAACCCCGTCTAGTTGGCAGAGTATCTGCAGGGCGGGTAACAGATGGAGACAAACATGGTGGGTATGTATGGAGTCTTAAAATCTTTGGGAAGTAACAGGGATGTTATAATAGTCAGGTGGAGGCTGGAGGTGATGGGAAATTCAGGATCAGCTGAAGCTCAGATGTCTGGGGTGGGGATGGGGGGAGACTGGCGTAAGAGCAGTCGGTAGGTAGCAGCCTTCACACCATCACGGAGGTCCAGGCAACTGTAACAGGCACTCAGGCACATGGGACAAGACATTGGTCCCTGGAGCTAGGGGAAAGTTGGAGGCTGTGTCAGGGACAAGGTGTATACAGGTTGGGGTGGACAGACAGCCATAGTAACTTAAGTCTGGGGACTCGCTGGACCAGGCCTTGGGGGCAGCTCCTGCTTCATGGTCCTCTCAGGGCCTCTCATTGGCCAAGCCTTGACCTGTCGCATCTGATGCGTCCACTCTAAATGTGTTCATGCACATGTCTCTATTCTCCTTATCTTTGACAAGCCCTATGTGACCAAATCCATAGGTTCTGAGCCTCTAGATCACCCACCGTACCCTATTTAAGCCCAGTTAGAGGTTTATCTTGGGCCTTTCCCACGCAATTTCCTTTCCATTCATCACTTAGGTAGCCACGCCAGATCATGGCTCTACAGAGCTGGTACTCAGCTGTCTCCTACAAATTGGCTCGGGAGATCATCTGAGTCCTCTCATTCCATACACATGCACTATTCAGCACTGACCCCCTCACCTCCCGCCTCAGTCCCACCCTCTATGTAAAGTGCTCCGAACTCCAACGTAACCTTCTGTGGACACCTGTGCCTGTATCTCCAATACGCCCTCCTCTGTTTATTCTTGTTTCTAAGGTAAGGGGACCCAGGGGTGTTCTGTGTGGCGTAGGCCCCTGTCTCTGTCCCTAGATGAATGGATAGTTAAAGAGCCTGTGCCAAGAGGCCAGGCCCCTTATTCATTTGTAACGGAGAGGAATGCCTGGGAGTTACCACTGAGGGGTTTAGGCCAGTTCCAGAGGGAGGTCTGAGAGGCCTAATTTCACTTGCATCTCTCTCAGGGGTTTTCACGATGCGGGCTGGGCCACCATGTTAAACAGGCTTCCGTAGAAACTCAGCACCAATTTGCAGGAGACAGGGACGTGTCCTCAGGCCTGAGGGCTTGTCTGTGGCTGGCGTCATTTTGTTATTTATTTATTTATTGCCAAACTTCTCAAGGGATACCCCGATGAGAGGCCCTTAGAAATGAGACGTTCCAGGAGAGATACCGCCTCCTTCACACCATGCAGGTGTGTGCTTCTGTGGACTACATGTGGAGGGGAATGCCAGTGACTCCAAATAGGACAGTGCAGACAGGGAGGGCTAGGCCATCATCTGCTAGACCAGCAAACGCAAGAAACTTTATTATTCTAACCCCAAAGGAGAAACTGTACCCAATTCTCAAGATCAGGAAGCTGGGTCTTGGATTGAAAGGTAGCAGGTAGAAATGAGGAGCCGTCTATGAATAGAAGAGCTGGGTGCTGGGCCCCTGAGTGCTGGTTTCAGGCCAGTAGCCTTGTCTAGATGGGTCCATCCTCCACGGGGCTGATCTGGGGGTTCAGAGCCCAGGAATCTCACCACAGATGGAGAGCCCCATAAAGGACAGAAGCTGGACTTCAAAACAGGAATCAGGGTCCACTGCCAGGGCAGTACCTTCAAGAGGAAAGAGCATTTCACACACACACACAAAGATTCCTGAATCGCTTTAAGACCCCAAAGTAGAGGGGATATGTTATAACTTGCACCTCAATCGGTGGTGCTCAAGAGAACTCTACTAGCAAGAGGCTGGGGACGAAAATGGGAACTCTCCCCTGTGCTGTGATCATTGGCCCCACGTCCCCTCTTTCTCTACTCTTTCCATTTCTTTTACGGACTGTTCATCATCCCCCTTAACCTTCAGCCCCTCAAGTTCTCCCTGTTTTCCTGCTGGAGCCTCTTGCGATGAAGAAGCCTTGTTCAGTAGGCTAATGATACTAAGATGTAAGTGACAGGCAGCAGCCTAATGGGAAGAGGTTCCTGACTATATCTGGAACAGCAGGCAGATTTTGAAGTCTTACCTGGGAGCTGTTCAAGCAGGCCACCACTGATTCCCCCCCTATATCCCCTGCAGGGGCGCCAGCCACTGACACGGTCCTTCCCCAGTGTGGTGTACATCTGTTAGGGTCCTGCTTTCTAACTTCTGGGCAGTGTGAGGAACAGGACGACGGAGAAACCCAAAGCAATGGGTCTAATGGTGGGACGCCAAGCACTTGGTGGTGATGCTTGGGCAGAAGGTGATGAAGGTTGTAGTCAGGTGAGGGGACCCACCAACTTTCAAATCCCACTCATGAGATGACTGTCCTCAGCGTTCTGGTAAAGCTAAGTTAACTCTGCTTTCTGTTCTCAATGAGCCCTAGTGTCAGGACACCATCTCTGCCCGCTGAGGAAATATATCCCAGGTCACAATGTTTCGATACCCAGTAACAAAGATATGGAATAGACCCAAAAACTGTCATTAGAATTTGCCACTGACCTAAAAATCACATTTTTGTCGCACCCATGGTCTTGGGTTTCTAGGTAAGCTTTTCACACACCTTCTTTTTGCTGCTGGGCAAAGTAGGTGGGGACCTCTCGGCACATGTCCTTGATGGGAATTCCGTACTGGGCTAAGTTCTTGACCCGGCTGGGTACCACAGTGTAGGTCAGGCCGCGAGTGGACGGGTAATGCTCTGCAGCCTGCAAGAGGTGGCATTTCAAAAATGGTGAGGCAGCAAAAAGGAAGAGGAGAAACGTATTCCAGAGCACGTGGGCTATTTACAAAAAGAGCTGTGAAGCCAAACTTGCCCTTGTGTTTCGTTTATAGATGCAATATCATATCTGGCCACAAGGTGGCGGCATTACTTCAGAAAAATGTGTGCGAACCGGTCTTTGAGACAGTCTATTCCTTTAACCTCTCTTAATTGCTCAACTCTTCCAGCCTCCAATGCTTTTCTCACCTCAAACGACACCATAGAATAGTTTTAGAATTATTTGTTGCATTTATATTTTTTCCTTGTTATAAATCAGATGACTGCAATACTTTTTTACCTCCCTTGAAAAATATTAAGGTTTTTTGTTTGTTTGTTTGTTTGTTTTATGACCCAGAGTGCATTTCTTCTGAAGAACCGGTGACCCTCCTTCCGCAGACATTAACGTTGCCCAAATGTCCTGGGCAGGTTACTTAAGCAAATAACAGCAAATTTCAATGACTTGCCGAGGACTTCTTGCTGATTTTTAATTTATTTGACTACCCTTGTCATTTAAGAGGCTGAAAGGGAATTGCATTTCAGCAGTCTTGAGCTTATTTTTAACTAAAGATAATATGTGTGTATGTGTTTGGTATGTGAGCAGGGGAGGAGAGATGGCATGGGGACGTGAATACTCTACTGGTTCACTCAATGTTTATATTCAATAATTTATATTCACTAACATGTAGCTCACACTCTTTTGGAATACACAACAATTATGTCATCACATAGAATTTTTAATTGATCCAATTATTATTTGACTTAAATGGGCCATGGACTGGACTTGGGGTCCTTTGCACAACAGTGGGACTTCACGGGCATTAGAAACAAGCATGAACTGAGTTCTCCCTGTGTGGACAGCATCCTCCTAGAAGGCTGGGAGGCAGAGTTGGAAAACACCAGAATAGGAGGGAACCACAGTGAGCTGCTCTCACTTACCTGGTGGTCCAGGGCCTTGCTAATGTCATCCAAAGTTGGGAAGGCAGCTTGGTCCATCTTGGCCAAGATACAAGCCATCTTGCTAAACAGCTTAGCCACCAAGAGGGCCTTAAAGCAACACAGTGGAACCATGTCATTCAGCCAGTCACAGTAGTAATGGGCTCCTATTTGCCATCAGTGCTAGCACATAGCTGTTCTTTAGACTGTGATGTAGAGCCCCGCGGGAGAGGGCAGCCCTGGACGCCAGAGTGAGGGGCTAGCAGCAGGACTGGCCATGCACACAGAGCCCCACTACTCCCAAGGGCCTGGTGGCACTGCCCACTGCTGCAGGCATGAGGAAAACTCCCCCAAGGCTCCCTGTGCACCACTAATGGCCTGGTGGGATTAGAAACAGGCTCGGTCACAAAGCTGACCTGAAGGTCCTGTTCTGGCACTTAGTAGCTTCACCACCTGTAAAGAAGGAATGACAGGCCCTCCCTCACAGGGTTGTCATGAGGATGAGCTGATGAGCTGAGATACTTACTGCTTGTAAAAGCATCTTGCAAGTTATAGAGAGCTCTCGGAATATACAGAGTGATTAGGAGCCTTGGGTCCAGCCCCCTAGACCCTGATTCTAGACCTGGGTCTGCCACCAACCACCCCTCTGCATGGCCCTGGGCCTATCATATGGCCTCTTTGGATCAGAGTAGTGGTTCTCCAGATGTGTCTATCTTAGCCCAAGGACGCCACCTGCATCTTCCTCCTCCAGCCAGAGCAGTTCTGACTTCTGTTCCATAGAGTGGAACAGAGATGGAAATCCTAGACTACATGAACCTCTAGGATGATTCAGGAGATGTCTCCTTGAGGAAGTCAAGAGCAGGTTAGGTGAAGAGCGAGGGAGAAGATGTTTGGGGAAGAGAGCAAGCTAGTACAAGCGGGGGCAGAGACAAAGCCTGTCCTGAGAGGGTTAGTGTGGCGGTGGACAGAGGGGCTTCCAACCCACAGGGCCTGGGTGGCAGAGGGTCTGGGCCAGAGTGAGCAGTGTGGGCTTTTTCTTCATTTAATCCTCGCAGAGTCATTTCATGTAGAAAAGGTAGCTATCGATACTATTTTGTAGATGAGGAAACTGAGGCACAAAAATGTTGAGTGATGTGTCTGTCTCTCTATAGCTTTTCTATCAGAGAGCCAGGCAAAGGACATAGGTGGTCGCTCCCCAGTCCTGCATCTTTCTGCTAGGTCTTACTATCTAAGGAGATGGAAAAGTGGAGGCAAGATTTCTAAAAGTAAAAATAAATCATTCTTTTTTTGAAAATATACTGGTTGAAATCTGAGATCGAGACCAAATAACTTCAATAGCATATAACAGTCATACAAAATAGGGGTTCTTTCAATAGCTCTCTTATTTCAGAGACCTTTAGGAGCCAGGTGAAGTACACCTCACAGAAATGCAAACTAATGTGGAATCCCTACAGACCACAGAAGTTCCTCCTACAGCCACTGGCTCAGAACTGAAGGAAAGCTGACCCCTTACCTAGAGAAAGGTATTCCCATCAAGAGCCTAAACCTAGAGAAGGCAAATAGAGACAGTGTCTTCTTCTCTCTGGAAAAACATGAGGCTAAGTTTTGGAGCAGACAAGGCTTTCTTTGGCATTGTAATGAGCATGTCCCACATCTTACATGCTTGTAGTCCAAGACTCCATCCCATTCACTCAAAACATTGTCATCTTGGATGCTGACGGTACCTCGGAAGGCATTGACATGGATGCTCTGGGACCCAACAGATCCATCCAGAGGATGGCTGTCACTGATGTTCTGAAGAAAACCAACCAACAGGGAGAAGAGTTAGAAGTCCAGAGTTCCTGCTTTACCCATATCTTGCAGGTTTCAAGGGGCACTCACAAGATATTTGAGGCAAGTCACCCTGGGTTGTCTCCTAGAAAATGCTTCTGCTAAAGGAGGACTAGACTGGTTGGATGCCCTCCACCCTCACTCACCATCAGGGCCAGAGATGGAGTTAGGAAGAAGACCACAAGGATAGAAGGCACAACCTGAAATAGACACAAATATCAGTGTAACCTGGCTCCCTTAGTCTCAGATCAGCCCAGAGCCTGGAACTCATGAGCTCCTGGAGTGGAGCCTTCTCAAGATGATCTATGAGGTCTGACAATTAAGTTTGTGAACTTGTTGCAACAATGTTGCTAACCTTATTTTTTGATATCAGAGGAATTATTCATTATGAATTTGTACCAACCAGACAAACAGTTAACCAAGTTTACTATTTGGAAGTGCTTGAAAAGGCTGCGTGAAAAAGACGACCTGAACTTTTTGCCAACAATTCATGGCTCTTGCATCACAACAATGCACCAGCTCGCAAGGCACTGTCTGTGAGGGAATTTTTAGCCAGTAAACAAATAACTGTATTGGAACACCCTCCCTTACTCACCTGATCTGGCCCCCAAGGACTTCTTTCTTTACCCGAAAATAAAGGAAATATTGAAAGAAAGACATTTTGATGACATTCAGGACATCAAGGGTAATATGATGACAGCTATGATGGCCATTCCAGAAAAGAGTTCCAAAATTGCTTTGAAAGGTGGACTAGGCGCTGGTGTCAGTGCATAACTTCCCAAGGGGAGTACTTCAAAGGTGACAGTAGTGATACTGAGCAGTGAGATATGTAACACTTTTTCTAGAATGAGTTCATGAACTTCATTGTTTGACCTCATGTAACTTTCACAGTCTCTTGTGCCCCTGTGACCCCAATGTGTATCAGGAGACTATTCAATGTGGTTGGTATGGGGTGTGCTGGCTACTCAGAAGGCAAAGCTTTATCATTTGCTTAAGAACTTCTTTTGTTGTGCTCTACTCCTACTGTTAATCACTAGGTTAAATACTAGGCGACCTGACCAACCTCTTGATCTGCACACAGGGCAGGACTATCTTAAGACTAATTGTAAAATAAGTAATAAATTCAAGTTCTCAGTCTCCCCTTTCTACACCTTCTTCTCTCCTCCCAGCTACTGGGGACCCCTCTCTTAATCCTCCAGAACCTGATATCCTAGAGGGTTTTCCCCTCTAGATTCTCCCACCTAGCCTGAGAATAAAGGACCATGTACCATTTATTTACACCTTATTTGGAAATAGATTTTATTCAAATGTTACTCGTTCTTGAGACATTTTTAGTGAGTCATTTTCTCTTGGTGTAGCCTGCCTTACCTGTTGAGGCAATTTCGGGCATCGGAGAGTAAGTGGAAGAGAATTAGTGGGGCAGGAACAGGTTAGGATAAGGCTGTGTGACAGTGAGCCTTTCCCTACATGCCATAGTTTATCATCTGGCTCGCTCAGCTCAAGTGCACTTACAACATGAGCAGAAATCATCAGGCAACCTCCCACTCCTCCGTCCCCACAATATCCAATGCAGCATTCCACATGTAATGATGCAATAAAAGAAAGGCTCACCTTTAAAGGAAAATAGTTGCTCTAGGAACAATAATCATAATACAATGAGATTAATCAAGGAGATACCTGAGATGCAGCTAGCTAACAATAATATTTTATTAAACTATTTTGAGAGTTGGTGCCATAGATGAAATATACCTGAAACTTTACTTCACTGGCAACTTGTAAATGAGTCTAGGAAGAGAGATACCTACAATATGAATATCTCCTCAACCCTTAAAGGTTCTTGACCTTTTAAGAAACCCATCATTCAGATGTTACAAAACAGAAAGTTTTGCCAACAGAGAGACTATACTTCAAATTAATATTTGGAAATTCTATTTGGATTTAATTTGAAGTGTCCATAGGGGGAAGAAAAAGAGAACTGCCCTCTGATAATTTTGGCTCTGAAAGCGTAATCAGCTACATTTGAAATCAGAAAATATACTTACAAGGTGTTTCATATTCTCTCTCAGACCCCATGCAACTGCCTGCATCATAGAATTTTCCATGTGTCATTTATTTTCTAAGTCTGGTTTATATAGTCCTGGACCTTTCAACTGTTGCCATAATAAAGCACTGTGGGATAGTTAACCATAATCCAGATACCATTCAGGGGGAAAAAAGGCAAGTTCATGCAATCACAGTTATCACTTTTCTTTAACCACTTCTAAATATTTTCCCTTTACTGTGATACCTCTACTGGTTCCAAGGCAAACATAGAAAATGAACACGTCTTTGTGGGCCGGCGTGCCCATGACCTTAACGACCAGGGTAAGAATTGCAAAAAGTAGATCCCACAAAAATGGTTCTGACACAAAATCAATGAGTTCACTGTTTCTACTTGCCAATTTCAGAAAAGTTCTTTATTAACAGTGGAGGGGTGAGAGAAATCTTATGAAGCCAAACGAGACAGATTGGAATTACGAGATTAGATTGAGAAGCAATCTGGTTAGCTCTTCATCCAAACCCCAAATCACATGGTTTGTCCTTCAACGCCCTCTGCCCACTCACCGAGCTGGCCTTGTTTTACCTCTTCAAACACCCACCTCTGGTTGCCTTTCCTGATATTCTGCTATTTTGCTTTCACTATGTGGTTTGTCTCTCTCCTGCCAGCTTTCATTTCAGGGTGCTTTTTTTCCATAAAGGACCATTTAACCAGCCCTGGAACTCCTGAGACAATGAGAACACCTTCCTATGGTGAGTCAAGCACTAATTCAGGCCTTTTCATACATTATCTTATTTTGTTCTCAAGCTGTTGGCTGGTAGTAACCCACCTACCTGGGTCAAAGTCCAAAACACCAGATCCAAACAGATATGTTTTTTTCTTTTTTCCTCAGAGAAGATGAAATATATGGATGAGCTAAGGCACTGAAATGATCAAAGAGGGAAGACGGACAGCTCAGTCCGTGCCGTGCTTGATGTAAGTTGGCAATGGGAGGCTGAAGTAGATGGGCCTTGACCCTGGGCTCAGACAATCTCGTACTTATCTCTCCATTGCTGTCAGTACTTTGAAAAAAACCATGCACAGAGCACATGTTCAATAGCTATTGACTGAATCAGTATTAAACGAATGACTTTCATTCTCCTACATGTGGGTATCCAGTTTTCTCAACACCATTTATTGAAGAGACAATTCTTTTCCCATTGTGAGGTCTTGGTGCCCCCATCAAAAATTAGTTGACCGTGTATACATCTATGTGGGTTATGTCGGGGATCTCTATTCTGTTCCACACTCCTTTGTGCCTGTTTTTATGTTGGTACCATACTGTTTTGTAATATAGTTTATACCATAGCTTTGTAATATGGTTTGAAACCAGGAAGTGTAATGCCTCCAGCTTTGTTCTTCTTTCTCAGAATTGCTTTGGCTATTTGGATCAAAAACTTAAATGTAAGACCTGAAACTGTAAAAGCCCTGGAAGAAAACATAGAGGGAAAGATCCTTGACATTGATCTTGGCAATGATTTCTTGGATAAGCCACCAAAAGCACAGGCAAAAAAGCTAAAATAAATAAGTGGGACTATATCACACTAAAGAGCTTCTGCATAACACAGGAAACAATAAATTGAAAAGGCAGCCTACAGAATAAGAGAAAAATTTGCAAACAATATATCTGATAAGGTGTTGTTATTCAAAGTATATAAAGAACTCATACAATTCAATAGCAAAAAAGCAAATAACCCAATCAAAAATGGGCAAAGGGCCAGAATAGACATTTTTCCAGATAAGGCATATAAATAGCCAATAGGTAAATGAAAATGTGCTCAACATAATTAACCATCAGGGAAATGCAAATTAAAACCACAATAAGATATCATTTCACACCTATTAGGATGACTATTATAAAAAAGAAAAGAGACAACAAATGTTAGGGAGGATGTGAAGAAAAGGGAGCCCTCATGCACTGGGAATGGAAATGGGTACAACCACTATGAAACACTGTATGGTGGTTCCACAAAAAATTGAACTACCATGGGATCCAGCAATCCTGTTCCTGGGGGTACATCCAAAGGTATTGCAAAATAGTATCTTGAAGAGATATCTGCACACCTATGTTTACTGCAGCATTATTCACAATAGTCAAGACATGGAAGCAACCTAAGTGTCATTTGACCGATGAATCAGTAAGAAGATGTAATTACACACACACACACACACACACACACACACACACACACGGAAAGAGAGAGAAAGAGAGAGAGAGAGAGAGAGAGAGAGAGAGAGAGAGAGAGAGAGAGAGAGAGAAAATATTTAGCCATAAAAAAGAAAGAAATCCTGACATTTGCAATGACATGGATGAATCTGGAGGGCATTATATTAAGTGAAATAACCCAGACAGAGAAAGACAAATACTTTTTGGTATTACTTACATGTGGAATTAAAAAAAAAAAACCAAAAAAACCCCAGTTTTATAGAAACAGAGAATAGACTAGTGAGTGGTTGGCAGAGCAAGGGGGGCAGTGAGGGTAAATGAGGTGATATAGGTGAAAGGGAATATATTTTCAGTGGTAAGAATAAGTTTGTAGGATCTAGTGTACAGCATGGTGACTATCGTTAATAATACGGTATTATATATGTTGAAGTTGCTGAGAAGAGATACGTATTCTCACCATGCACGGAAAAAGAGTTAACTATGTTACCTATGTGATATGATGGATGTGTTAATTATCTCGATCTTGGTAATCATTCTACAATGTATTTGTATATCAGATCATCACAATGTACACTTTGAATATACTCGTATACAGTTATATTGAATACATGTAGTTATATTTGTGAATTATCCCTCAATAAAGTTAAAATAAAAGAATAGCTTCTCGGGACTAATGGAATGTCAAGCTTTGTCTCTAAGTAGGTTGTAGAAATGGGGAAGAAGTAAATGTTAAGCCTTCTGTTTTGAAGCCCAGTGAGTTTGTGAGGAGCTTTGTAGAGCAATTGAATTTGCAGCCAGAAGTGATCTTAAAATCCAGAGTGAATTCTGTAATGAAAATGTAGAAATCACTAGGAGAGAAAACAGGAAAGATTGTGAGTTGTAGAATATCAAAAGAAAATATAAGTGTATATAGTAATAAGATACCTTATCGCCTTCATTGTCATGACTTCGCTTGCTTCTTTATTACCAACTGTGAGTTAGGAGAAGCAGCGACTGTTAACTCATTTTAGAGATAGGACGGGCAGCCCCATAGACAACTCTCACTAACCAAGGCCAAACCCCAGTTCTGCAGTAACCACGTTTATCAGGGCAGAGTTAAAATCTGAATCCTGGTCTACGGACTTCAAAGGTTCCAACTCCATGCATTTTCCCCAACAATGCACTGCCATTTGGGACTCATTCACTTCAAACTGTAGATTAACAGAGCAAGGCTTCCTGAGAAAAGAGTGTTCTACTTTCATGTCCCAGTCTATCGCTGTTTGCTTTTCAGATAACTATGCTGAGCTGCTAATTTTCTTGGAGTCTCTCCCCAGGCAAACGGGCCAGGAATCATTCAAGTCCCAGGCAGCCAATCACCACTCCTCCTATCCCTAAGTCCAGGTTTGAGGAGCTTGGGGACCAAAAATAAAGGCAGCTGTGTCAGAGAGTCAGAACCAGAGGTGATCCCAAATGTGTTTTTAATCATGGACCTATCAGAAAAAGAAGGGGCGCTTCGATAGGAATGCAAGCAAAATGGAGATTGGAGTCAGAAAGAGGCAAAGTAAATATCAGGCCCTAAGAAATCAGAAAACCATGAGGTGGACAAACTCTGTCCCTTCTGAGTTCCCCACTCACTAGCATCTGGCTAGAGAAGGGGTGTGGATGTCTGGAGGATAGTCATCCAATCCCCCCATCCCCAATTCTCCTGTAAGATTAGGCTCTGGGGTCACACTCTTCAATTGGTTGGGGTCTCTGTTGAGTAATGACAAAACGTTGAGATTGCCTTACTCATGTAAGTGAGCCTATTATTGAAAGAAATGATAATTATAATAGTGTTTGAATGCGTGTTAAAATACTGACATGCAAGTTAAATAAACTATTTAGCCACATATTTAAATCTGCACTTAATTCTGCAAATGCCAACAGCCACGTGTCCAAAGGAAAAATCAATGCAGTCAAACCGTGGAGTCTCATTAAGGAGTGAGCTTTGGCCAAAACCAAGTTTGGAAAGCCCTCTCTTTGCCCTCCATTCTCTCTTCTATTTTCCAATCCATTCCACAAACTCTTGCAAGTCTTGCTACCTCGCTTCTCACAAGTCATCTGAGGACGTCCATGCTTTGGCCCTGGCTAATCTTTGCAGCCTTGTCTTCCTGTTCTTTCCAACCCGTGCCCAGACGCTAACCAAATCTGGCTCTTCACTCTCCCCCACTTGTAGCCCATGGTTTCCTAACTCCCATCCTGCAGAGTTCTTACCCTACTCATTGCTCCTATCCATTTTTCAAGGCCAATTTGAAGAGTGCCCCACTCTCCAGCCTTCCTTCACCCCCCAGCCAATTGGGATCTCTTCTTTCAAAATATCATAGTTCCTTGCTCGTAACTTTCTTTCCTATTTACATTCTTCATTGTGTTATATTTCCTTGTGTAGTTGACTGATTCGGCCATTAAGTTGCACATTTATGTCCCTAGACTGTAAACTTTGTGAGGTTAGAGACTGTATCGTTCTCTGCTGCAGCTCTAACATCTCATACTTAGAACAGTACCTGACACAGAGCAGGTACTCAAAAAATATATATAGATGCTACGTAAATGAATGAATGGATTGCGCTGATGGTATTTTATCCATCTCTGTATCTCCTAGGAGTACTTAGCAGGGTCTAGAACATAGGGAGTGCACAGTAAGTAAGGTTGAATTTAATGGCAAACCATAGAATCAAGTATTTAATATTAATGTGAATGAGGGAAGACCATTGACATCTGAACCGAATAGCATGTACAGCAAGGACAAATTAGAGTTTATAAACTCCAATTATAGTGCAATTACAAGGTTAGCAGAAAGATGTTAATATTTTTGTACTTGGATTTGAGGGTAGG